AAAACCCGTTGGAACGTGCTTCACCCACACTTGTTCCTGATATTCTGAAATTGCTATCTCCTATGGATTACGAAGAACACTTTGATCATGTACTTATCTTGTGCTTCTGGTCCAACCTCCCTTAATCTTCAACAACTTTTGAAAGCTATTGAAAATGTGCATTCCTGTATGTGTATAGGAAATGGGTGTTTTAGATTATGTGATTTTGATGTTTTTCCTAAATTGTGGTTGATTGATCGCAAGATGTAGTATGATAATTTTATCTCCAAAGAATGTTATGAAGGAAGAAAATAATGACCAACCACACCCATTCATGAAGTAGAGCTTATTCATTTATATTAGAGCAGTTTTATGTAGCATGGGCCGAATAAAACTCGTGAAAAATGCAGACTAGGGATTTACGTCTAACATCATCACTTGAGCACCAGGCTAGCGACAAGCGAACGATCGGAGTGTCCCTTGAGTGATGGCTAGCCGACAGTATTCGACAATGATTTTGTTTTTTGGCTCGAACACCAAGCGAGCAATCAAAGTGACAATTGAGAGATAGCTGAGCGACACGCATGCGACAATATTTCCCTTTTTTTTTCTTTTTCTTTTTTTTTTTTTTTGCTCAAGCATCATATAGGTGGCAGGCTAGCATAAATTCAACGATTCTTTCCTCCTTGTTCCAAACACAAATCCTAAGTTACCTAGTTCATCTATACAACATTCCAATTGACTACTTGACTTTTACAACTTTTTATATTAGTCATTTTGTCTAAAGAATTACCAATATAATTAAATACTACCAAACTTCCCCTTTAACATTCTATGACAAAACTATACAATACAAGTCAATGAAGTAAAAACAAAAACTAATATACCCAAACTCAAACTGAATAAATGCATCTTGCATTCCTTGTTAAACCTATTTCTTGAAACCAACAACTCAAATACCAATTGTAAAAGGGTATCTTTCTTATAGAGGAAGGAGAAAATGAAAAAAAAAAAATGAAATAGCAACTGAAATCATTAAACTTTACAGCTCAGACAAGTTGATGGAAGATAGATTAAAAATAAGAAGGAACTCACTTTTTACTAATTCATGAAATAATTGGAAATAAACAAAGATGGCATGACAAAGAAAGAATATTCGACAAACTTTACGTGAAAAAGTAATTGCCAGCCTTCATTAAAAAAACACAAAAGGACGCAGTAGCAACAAAATTAAATTAAATTAAAAAAAAAAAGGATTTACCAAAGTTTTGCAGAGGAGACTAGTTGTAGGCTTATAGCACGAATCGATGAAACGAGCAAAAACCTAAAAATTATATATATAACAGTATTCAAAGGAATAAATAAAAAAGAATCAACGAGATTAGATATAATAAATATCACCCAAATACTTGTTGGAAATAGTTATAAAAAGTATTTAAAAAAAGTTGATTTTTATCAATTTTTGACCCAACATTTGGATGGATCTCGCTGCTCAAATTTTGCAAGAAATGGGTCCAACATATTCTACTCGTTGAGTGGATGAGTTTGGTATGTTTGGAAGTTAAAAACTATTTGCGGATGAATGAGAAATTAGTGAATGAATTAAGATTGAAAATCATGAATTCGAATTAAAAACAAAAATTCAATATATGATACCATCGCTCGAGCTACAGCCTCCGAGGAAAATTTGTGTTAAAGACAAAGAGTTCAACTCTTGCTTCAATCATTCATGCATTCCCTTTTTTCATTGTGTTTATCCAGAGTTGGTATCTTATATACCGGGTTTTAAACTTTGATTCAATTATTGGTACGGTGTGGTGAGTTCATATTTCATTTATCACTATAAAGAATCACTTTTATCACTTATTTTACTCAACAATACTCATATCTAATCTCGACAATCCATAACAATCTGTTTTTTGGCTTCCTATTTAACAGGGGAAAAAAAAAGAAAGAAAGAAAGAGTAATCCAATACCCCGAAAAATACATACATAAATTAATAAAAACTTAAGTATCAATACTTTTGCTTACAAAGTCACGTATTAAAAGATATGCAACTTCAGACAGTGTGCATCGAGTTCAATTTAAAAATTCTCATTTATTTCTCATCATTTTTCATTCTTCGATTATAACATGAATCGCCTTCAGACAGTGTAAATCATTTTTTCTCATCAGCAAACTCAACCCTCTACATATCCTATAATTTACGTTAATAACATGAATGATTTTTTTTTTTTTTGCTTTAATTTTGTATGCCCTCTTGTATGTATTTTTTAACGTTTTCGGATAGTTTCTTGTTTATTAATTTTGGTATGAAAGTATTAAATTGGTCAGATTTTCCAATTATTGTATCTATATGCTATCTAATATGAAAGGGAAGCACAAATATGTAGAGTAAAGAATACTATTAGTGAAGCCAAAAGGCATTTTACATACCATGTGACTTTCATATTCCTAATCTTCCACTTTGTGATATGGAAAATGCTTGCATAAATTTCTCTGAAATTTTACAAATGTTAATCAAATATTTACATGACCTACAACTACTATTCATTTTTCCACCATTGATTTCCATCATATTATAATTTTAGTGACTTATACGTGTGTGTGTGTGTGTAAAGTTTGAGACTTAAATCACTATCAAAAATACGTTGAAAAAATCAAGTTGAAAGTGTTTAAGTAATAAGATTTCATGCGCTACAAATAAAAGACACTTTAAAATAGTTGGTGAAAATATGTGATAATCATAAAAAAAATTGCTGCCTCAAATGAAACTTGAACCTGCATTTCATGAAAAACTTATTATTCATAGAAAGAAACACTTTAATAAAAATATTAATAATTAAATAATACAATCAGTCGAAGAATCTTTCAAGATTAATTATTTCTTATATATAGTTGATCAAGCTCCTTCTTCACTTAAGGTTAGAACAATTTAAAAAATATATATATGTGAGAATATTTTTAGTTTCATTTAAAAACTTGCAGACTCCATAAGATAATTGTTTAAGTATTGGTGTGATAAGCTTGAAGATTTTTTAAGCACGACAGTTGTTCTGATAATGTAGGACACAAGTTATTTTTGAGCCGCAATTATGAGAAATTGTTTGTAAGAAGAGACCAAAAAAGCTATTGAAGTGTAAGGTTACATAGACTATTGGTTTTAAAATGCGTGCATTGTTTAAAGAATAATATTGACGATACTAATTACAGTTGCATTGCATTTGTTGAGAGCTCCTCCTCAATATTCTTTAATTTTCTTTTCTTTATTTTTATTTTATTTAAATATGATTGTATATTCATCATTTTACAGCTTTTAATTAAGAAAATGGATGAAAATAATAGTTTCGTAATGTAATGTGAAAATGATAAGAAATGAAATATACGAACATTTTGCACAATAATATTGAAAGGCATGAACGTTTTATACTAAATACTCTTTTAATAATCTATTGGGACTTATTTGCAGTTTTTTTCAAAAAATTGAAAGTATAAATACAATTTGTTCTTTATTTTTCTTTTTTTATTTAGATAAGAGAATATAATTGCATTTTAGATTTTTTTTATTGAGAAATTTGCAGAAAATGCAATTTTCTGCAATGAAATGTGGAAACGCCAAAAAACAAAAGATAAAGACATTTTGCACAATAACATTAAAAGATAATTTTTGTATTAATTACCCTTTTATAAATATAATATCACGTGAGAATGTTGATATTGCAAGAAAAATATTGCACTTTTCATGTTATCACGTATAATATACCAACTTGCAACGTTTATTCACACATCTTCATCTTATCTGAATGTGAAAAAGCCGAAACTCTAAGCTAGAGCTTTTTTGAGTCGAAGTTTTTTTGGGCTAAGTCCAGCCAAGCAAAAGCTCGAACGAAAAAATGAGGCTCAACCTGTACTTTCGACGCGAGCCTTACTTATTTTTTCCATGACGCAACAGCCAACTGCCTTTTAAAATAGGCAGCTGGCTGATGAAATTTTATTTTATTTTTTCTCTTGAGCCAGCCCACCGACACATGATCCCGACACCCCATGATGGGGCCGAGCCAAGAACGGCTCAAGCCAACTAGCCAATTTGTCATCCCTTCCTTTGATATCATCTTATGATTGTTCCCTTCAGGAACTCCGTAGAATTATACACTTGAGACTTGGAGGACAAAACTTGTGAGTCATTCCAGTCTAACACGACAGGACTTTTATTTTTATTATTTTTTTTTTTTACCGAGCATCAAGAGGAGCTGTTTAGTGGCACCAGAACTAAGTTATTTAGTTCGAATGCGTCCATCAACTTGATGCAAACGCTCTGTATATACCACGTATAAAAATCAAATAGATGTTTGGTTAATCAGTTTTCGTCCATTTTACACATCAAGAGTATTACGTGTGAATAGATTAACCAAAAACTTAAGTATAATTTGATTTATTTAAGCATATTTAAATATGTGTAAAATAAATCTTGCGCAGCTGCAGAACCAAACTTGAAGCTTCAAATTTATATCCTCATTCCCTGACCGATTGAGACTCATTTTCGAAAAAGAAAATTAATCGGGAGTTAAATTTTAGATGTCCAAACATATAACCAACTCAGCCTATGTTCTATGTAGAGTCGTAGACGACCCCAGCCTGAGCAAAGGACAGTCGCTATTGAACTAACAGAATAGGTAGAGCGGAAAATGCCGATATTATCAATTTTTAGGTTTCAATTGCTCTGAGGTATCTCTTCCTTTTTGGTCTCCCAAGCTTCTAGAAGGTTAGATCAATATAGGACAGAAGAATGGCACTATTTTTCTTTCCTTTGGCCATATAATCGTAATGCCCTTTTCCCGACTAGCAAAAGCAGTAGTTGACGTGTATTAAAAAAGAATAAGCCTATGGTCAAACTTGAGTTGCTTCGCTCTCACTGGTCGGGTCACTGTCAAATAGGCTCATCAGATAGCAAGCAAACCACAGCGCGACTTCAGGCTGTATGGAGCAACCTTAGTAGATTGACAACCAGCATTAAACTATGTTAAATCTTAACACCTAATACACATTTCTTTAAACTAACATGTCCCCTGAAAACTGCTAAGGATCTAGTTCTTCCAGAACCGAAATGTCAAAACCAAGATCAATAGATGACTGCTTAAAAGTACAGCTCAAGTTTTAAGAAAACTCCTTCGTGCATGATCAGAACAACAGCATCAACCAAGATCAATTCTCAAACAAGTCATATCATGTTCAACGATCATCATTATTAAACATAAATAACTAAACTCCTCAGCCACTTGATAAAATATGATATGCTGGTCACTCCAAACTTAAAACTTCAATCTCAAAAACCAGAACTGAGTTAGGCTGAATGCCCCATGCTGGAAATCCACCAGGACCATAGGCATAGTCGGGAGAGCACTGTAAAAATTTATAAAGCTAAAATGAACAACACCTCTTATATAGTTAACCACAGATTTAGCAAGAGTTAAATATGCAAGCAGGGAAGCACATTCACTCCTAATATTATTATGTTTTTCGTTGACACCCCCCAAAAATACTCAGAAAAGGAAAGAACTGATTGATCTTAAGCAATGATAAATTCCAATAGTGAGACAAAAAGGTTGGTCCAGCAAAACTTGCCATCTTACTTAAGAATTTCAACTACGATTCTAATAAGCAAAGTATCAATCAATGAAGAACTGAAGTATGAGCCACAATAGTTGTAGGTGTAAGAGAGTAAGAGAGAGGTTTCATTACCAATTAGAGCTTAAACAAATACTCGGGCGGTATAAGTCATGATAGAAAACCTAAGACGAAAAATGTTCCACAACTGAGCTTAAATTAGAAACTTGTTAAAATTTGGCCCCTTACATTTTATATCAAATATATATTTACAAAGATGTTCCAATTTATTAATGGGCATTAACGCTAGATACCATAGTGGCACAGTCATATAATTACACAAAAGAGTGAGTCGAGTTCATTTTCATGCTTTTGTACTCCTCATTTTATAAAAGTTTGAATCTCACAGGAAGCAGAAATTCAAAAGCTCAAGAACAAGAGACACACAGATTGTGTCATGCTTCATGGTCAACATGTGGCATGTTCTCAAACGTATCATCCCACCACCAATTTCCCAACTAAAGCTATGGTCATTTGACGCAATGTGGATTAATCAAATGATGGAAATGACATTTAACCACGTACGAATGAAACCAAGTATTTAAATATTACCTGTAATCGAGCAACTTCTCCCACTTGCATTCCCAACACACCTTCATCCCATCCTGTGGAAAAAATTGCGGTACATAATTGTAATTACAAAAAAAATAAATTTCACATTGAGCAATTCCAGGAAGCAATTTTCAAGCTAGCAAAAGCCTTAGCATAATAGCTAAACTACAAAATAACATCTTGATGATACAAGTTACAATACATAGTGGATTTAGCCAATTTATACAACATGGAGTTAAGAAGATTAAACAAATTGAAACGCATGAAATGATTCCTTTACTCGGAATTTGCAGCAAAATACCAGCAACTCGTTGTTTCCACAAAGTATAAAAGAGAAAACTGGTTGAACTAGTTCAAAATCAAATCTCTAGTGTGTCGCTTTCACTAGGATTTCGCACAGCTAATTATCTCGACCCATCCAAGGACCAGAATACATTCAACTCTTGCAAATTTTAATCAAACCCAACGAAGATCTATACTTCCATTTCACATTTCCATTCAGTTAATTCTCTTTCCTTCCTACCGAAGTTCGAAAAC